CACACCCACACACACACACACACACACACACGCACGCACGCACGCACGCACGCACGCACGCACGCACGCACGCACGCACGCACGCACGCACGCACGCACGCACGCACGCACGCACGCACGCACGCACGCACGCACGCACGCACGCACGCACGCACGCACGCACGCACGCACGCACGCACGCACGCACGCACGCACGCACGCACGCACGCACGCACGCACGCACGCACGCACGCACGCACGCACGCACGCACGCACGCACGCACGCACGCACGCACGCACGCACGCACGCACGCACGCACGCACGCACGCACGCACGCACGCACGCACGCACGCACGCACGCACGCACGCACGCACGCACGCACGCACGCACGCACGCACGCACGCACGCACGCACGCACGCACGCACGCACGCACGCACGCACGCACGCACGCACGCACGCACGCACGCACGCACGCACGCACGCACGCACACCCACACACACACCCACACACACACCCACACACACACACACACACACACACACACACACACACACACACACACACACAAACACACACCAATGCATCGAATGTCATAGAGGCATGGCCAAAAAATACCCAAAAAACAACAATCTGGAGGCTTGCCCGGGACTCCGCGCCTCACCGCGGGCCAGGGCCTCTGTCTCGTTCTGCGCCTCTTGCAGGGCGCGGAGCGCCGGGACCAAGCCCGCCACCTGCGAAGGCTTCGTTTAGAGGCTTCGTTGCGGGCCGCCCGTGGTTCAAGGAACCTGGGCCGTCCAAACAGACGGGGAGCTTCCAAAATGGACTGGGGCACACCAAAACAAAAACAGGCCAGCGAAACCGGGAGTTTCTAATAATGGAAGACAAGCGACACAAACAAAACACAAACACATGTTTCATAGTCCCTGGTAACCACGCCCGAAAGGACCGGTCCGGGACCGGTCCCAGGACCGGTCCTGGGACCAGTCCTGGGACCAGTCCTGGGACTGGTCCTGCGACTGGTCCTGGGACCGCTTCGGATTACTTGCAGTCAGCCAAAACCGGTCCTGGCACCTGGGACCAGTCCTGGGACCGGTCCTGGGACTGGTCCCAGATCGGTCCTGGCACCCAGGTTTGGCTCCAGACACCTGTTTCCTCCAATGTCGCTGTTTCCGGACTGGCACCCGTGTTTCAGGACCGGACAGGGTCCCAAGTCCCAGTCCCTCCCTGCGACCGGTTGAGGGGCACCGACGGTCTGCAAGAGAGTCCAATACGTCGAGTCAAGCCGCGCCAGACTCAGACCAGCCTGGACAGGGTCCCAAGTCCCGGTCCCTGCCGGCGACCGGTCCAGGGCCACTAGGGCCACTGTCGCCGGGGCAGTTTTGGGAGGGCCAGTTTCAGGGCGACCCGGGAAAGGCGACTGCTCCCGGGCCAACTCGAAGTGACTTGGGCGCAAGCCGGCCCAAGCGGCAATTAACGGACTAGCTGCCGTATTTCTGACTTTTCCGTTAATCCTTGTTTCTGGTCGTAGAAAATCTTATAAGTGGTCCCTGGGTTTGCGGACGTGTTTCAGGACCGGTCCTTGTGACTTTTCCCTTAATGCGCCGAGGGTCGGCGGCAGCTGGCGGGAGCCTGGTTAATGGGCGTTTCACAAAATAATTAGAGGCACATGGGGTTTTTCTCAAAATGCTGGGGGGCTCCCCACCAAAAAAAACACCTAAAAACATGGGTGTTCCTCAAAATTATTTCGGCGGGCTGCCCAAACAATGGTTGGTTTCCTTGTAGCTTCCCTAAAGCCAGCCAAAAGGGGGTCCGAAATCCATTTTGAGAAACTACCAGATCCCAGGGTTGAAGGGTGCCCTAAACTTTGCAAGTAGGGGGGACACTCGCAAACTCCCATGGTCTGTGGTTGGTTTACTTGCAATATGGCTTGGGCATCCACCTAGCATGGGAGTTGGGACGGAGTCAACTCCTATAATTTGGGGCAATGGGATACTATAGGCTTTTGTGAGGGACTGGGGCAGTTGAGGCATAGGTGGCCTTTTGGAAACATACGTGACCCTGGTAAGTTTTAAATAATACTGAAACTGGTCTAATCCAATGCCATCCATTTTCAACCAAACTACCTAAAAGGGACATCTCTGAGTTAAGGAAGAGTTTTCGGTGAAAAGTGGGTTGATAGGAAACCGCCAGGACTCAAAACTAATCTTCACCTTTCGCTCGGGACCCAAGCAATACATCCTCCACAGGAGCCTGCGCACCTACCCACTAACATGGAATCTGGAAGAGCATGTTCCTCTAGAAGGGGCCCTTTGGTTGGTTCCATGCTAGTTGGCAGGCGGTAGGCTGTCCTGGTGTTACAAAGCATCCCAATTAACTGACTGTATACACTCTGAAATGTATGGAGCTGCCTTTAAGTGGCTTGGGAACTGCCAGAATTGGGTTTACTCTTTAAAACAAAAACTAATTCCCCCAACATTGACACGCACTGGAACTCCGGCTCAAAAGCCTTGAGAACACTCATCATATGCTATGAATTGTTTTTTCCCAACATCTAAATCTCATGAGGGTTCATGTCCACCAGCCGTGTGTGAAAGCATTTCCCTCCGAAATCATTCATTTGCTGAAGTCTCCTTGAACAAACACATGTGAGAGAGAGAGGAAATAAACATTAATACGGGTGTGTCTCCAAATAGGGGGACCCCTTTTGGATGCGTTTAAAGGAAAGCAAAGGGAAGGGGTCCCAATTGTGAGACATACCCATATTGGACCCGAACCCAGCCAGTTCTTGGACCCGAACGCCAAAAAGCAGACAGCGGAGGAATCCACTCTATCTGTGCTCGCGGAGTCCACGGAGCGTTTGACTCAGTGAAATTGGATCCGACAAAGCAGATGTGACGTTTTCTTGATATACCAAAATAGTCACGAAAAGCTGAAAGTGCGACTAGGTTAGGTGATCTTAAGCACCTTTCTTGCGCCACCTTCAATTTGATGGCCCACAAGACCCCCAGACCTTAAATAAGAAATAGGTCTTGGGACCTTGGAGTGGGGAAGATCTACGAACGAGAAAATCCCAACACCCAGCCAGTTGGCCGGCAACAGAGCAAACCAATGGCACCGCAAGCCGCGTCTCAAAAGGATGTATGTATGTGTATATATATATATATGTACATTCACAAATATGTCCCTTATTTGAGAACATGCTCCAAGTCGTGGAAAAAAAACACCTGGTCCACTTGTCTTTGCCCAAAAGGTCACTAGCCATTCTGGGCTCAGATGTCACGATAGAGAATTGGGCCCTAAAGGCAAACCAAAGAAAGCGCCCAATACCATTTGAGTCCCAATCAAAACCGATCGGTATTAAAAAGGTCTACCCACCTTGTAAAGACTTCAAAAGGCGGCACCCATGGAAATCCCTGCCTTTGTCTCCCCGGGTGTTGATTGTGGCTCCTTCTTTCTTTCTTTTTTCGGAGTATCCCTCTCCCGGGATCCAATCGAGTCGATGCGACCGCCTTGTTGAAAGACTCTTGCGAGTACGGAGGTGGCACCAGTGGAATCCTGCAAGCACAACCCCACATGGGTGTGGGTCAACAATTGGTGCCCAAAATGGAGCCCCTGGCAAATGGAAACAAGGGACCATGAAACCCTGGTCCATATCCTGGTGGTAACAAATTTTGACCCATACCCACATGGTTCAAACCCAAGTGACTAAAGTCCGGGAACTGAGGGAGTGAGGGATGCTGTAGTCGCTTGAGCGCAGCTCCCGCGTATGCCAGACTTGCACGTAGGAGCATGTTGGACACCAAACTGCTCAACAAAGTCCTTGTCCATTCCCGCAACCGCCACTGTTTGAGGAGCTTGGTGGCTCACCGTGCAACATGTCAAATCCAATATGTTTTGGGCATAAGCAGCAAATAATACGACTCCCTATTGACATCACCTTCCATTACTATAACTCTAATCAAGCTTGGCGTCACTGAGAGATAAATTGGCGGGGGGGGGGGGGGGAATGCTTCACGTGAGTGTGGGCCCTTGTAGAGGTTGTGTTCCCATTGCTTCAAGCATAGCAAGCGATTGGTATCTATGGTCATAACTCGCTTGCGAGGGTAAGTAAGCAATTCCAAGTCACCGTTTGCTGACCACAAACCACGGAACCCAAAATGCTCCCATTTCTCGAGGAACCCCCTTATGGCCCCTTTTGGTTGGTTTTAACTGGAAACTAAGAGGAACACCAGCCCTTTTATGGTGGGGTCCCCTAAAAAAGACAGACCCATATACCAACCCGCCAGCCAAACAACCAACCTGATCAGCCACGGTTCGAGCCTCGACCCGAACTTGAGGCGCCGCTCGGACTCCTCACGACTCCCGCTCGCGACTCGCGTGCGACTCGCGACGGACCGCCAGTCGCAAAAACCCGGGCGAGGGCGGTGTGTTCCAACTTGGGGATCCACTTTTCAGCTGAGTTTCGCGGTGTTTATTGTTTTTGGTAAAGAGAAAGACACTCGACTGGTCAACAATTTGGACTCAAAGACTTGCGATTGTCGCATGTGTTTGTGTAAAGACTTGGGGTTCGTCAAGTACTTGGTCAAACACCTTCGGCTTGGCAAATACCCTCCCTCCCACAAACATGGCACCTGACAGGGGACCCCCGTCCAGCCCTTGGCCCCCAACAAAGGCGGACAGCCCTTTCCGGGCCCACTTTAGCCTCAGAAAACCTCAAAAACAAATGTCAAACAGAAAAACAAAACTGCTGACTGGATGCGGTTTCCATGCCACCCCCCCATTCTAGTGGTTCAGGCCGAAATACCTGGTCTGACCGTAGCTCATTTGTTGGCACTTCCTTACCACAGCCCCACTTGCGCATGGAAAATCCAGCCTTTTCCTTCCCCTGATTTCGAAAGGTTGACTTCCCCATTCTTTTCACCCCGGGTCCCTTTGGGAAACTACTCAAAACGCCCTTGGCCATCTAAACAGAAGGATCCTTGAAACGCTTGGGGGAAGCACAGCTTGTAGAAGGCACCTACAAGCCCCTGGCATCCTGTAGCGTTTCGGCGCTGGTGGAGTTGAGAAAGAAGTCGATACAAACCTCGGCCAGGACAGCAGGTTGGTTGGTTGGTTTGCAGTCCCTGCAAACAGCTTGTGGGCACAAGCAAAAACGGCAACAACACCGCCACGAAAGGGCATGTGCAGGTGGGGCCCACGACACGGGGCCAGCAGCATGAGACCGCGGTCAACATGCATCACTTCCCAGTGCCCACCAGCAGGAACTCGATTGCTTTCTGCGAAGCCCTGCTAAAAGTTGTTAACTTTCAGTGGTTTAATACGGAAAACCCATGAGTTCCCAAAAAGTTAAAGTCCCAACATCCCTTGGCATAATGCACCAAAGGGAAGACAGGCCAAAAGGCATCCAACAGTCAGCTTTCCTCCCCGAACCAATCCAAACGACCGACCTCGGGGTACCTGAAGCAGAACACCAAGAGGAAATCACAAGAAACCAACAAAGAAACCCCGGCAAGAACGAAAACGACCCTCCAACGTCGGCCATGCTGGAGGTTCCTTGGAAAAGGATCCCAAGAGATCCCACAAACAAACATATTGTAGTACACAATGGACAAGGAAGCCCCCCCCCCAAACCAAAAAACCAATATACCAACAACAAGCCCTCCCCCCCGGCCTCAAAACAAATACACAACAACACCAAACACGACAAGGACCTCTGGGACACACTACGGGTGGATGCGAGAGGCTTGCTGACTGAGGCGGCGTAGGCGGCCGAGCTCCAGCAACAGGCCCTGGCAAGGCGGGAGTTCCGAGACTTGGTGGATGCCCCGTTCGGTGGATGCGATGGTAAGACGACATCCCACAAAAAAGCATGTATTGAAAGGACAATCCCACAAAAACCCATGGCTTGAAATAACAATCCCACAAAGACCCATGGGTTGAAATGACAAACTAGTCCCACAAAAAACAAGCATGGTTGAAATGGCAGTAGACTAGTTGGAGCTCCCCTTGCTCCCAGCAAGATTTAGGGCATCCACCGTATGTTTGAGTTTGCCTTTAGGGTTGGAACTGCAAGACTGCCATTTTGGTGCGGTCCAAATCCGTTTGACGCATACCCATTTTGCGTGTGGGGCTCAATTAGGGACCCTTTGGACATCATTTGGGGATTCATGTAGGTGGTTCCCTATGTAAACTCGTGGCCAGGCGATTCTGCCACATTCACTTTTGGCTCTCTGGCTGTAAAGGCGCATACAGGCCCTGCTCCCTCGTTGGGTGTGTCTACTTTTAGGGGCCCACAAAATGGTGGGTGTTTCCTGTTGGTTCCCTTTCAAACCAAACAAAGATATTGATATCTCCAAAAAAAGACACATCCCACTAAAAGCTAGTACCACCTAGTAAAGCATCAATCGAGCCACACATTTCTCCGGGGGTGGCCTTTCCAAAGCCCTGCAGAGTGGGACTGGACGCAATTCAGCCCACGTTTGGAGCCTGGAAAAGAAGGGTGACCTTGTGCGACCTCTAAAACCAAAAGGTCAAGTCAATTCGCGACAGCTGAGTTGAACCTCCTTTTGCCTTAAGAGGTCAGAGGGGCCCAGCACGCACGGCCAAGCTGTCCTGCCTGCCACTCCTCAGGGGAGAGCTGGGCGCTCTCGCAGGAGACAGCCTCGACATGTTCCTCAGAGCCAAAAACGCCTAGGCATAACACGGTTTGGACCCCGTCACGGGAAATCCACAAAAACTATCGTTGTTTATGAGCTCTCTGATCTGATCAATGGGCTTATCAAACAAGCTGCGTGCCACACCATTGCTCTTCAAATTCTTTCTAGGCTGGTTGAGAATGGACACGTAACTTGTACATGGGTGCGTCCTTTATTCTGAGGCTCGGTACCCTTTTCAGGGGTGGTTCCCCCGATTGGGAACCCGCTTAGTAATTGGTCCGTTGTCCCGAGTGAATGAGCCTAAGTGGGAAGTCCCACCCACTTGGGGGACCTATTGACAGGGAAACCGAAATGCGAAGCACCCCACATTTGAATTGCCCGTTGTTTAATCCGTCCGGCGTGGACAAGAGCCCCTTGCAAATTCACACAGACCCCCCCCCCCCCCCCCCACACAGAGAAACCAAAAAAGTCAAACTGCCTCGTTTGCGACCCCCTGCTAAAGAGATTGTACACTTGCAGGGGAGTAGCGGAAACAATCATGTTGCCAAAGGTTTTAAACACGTCCACCGTGAATAGCAACCATGAAAATAGGCCGACTGAACTTGGCTTGGTGAATTGAACGATGCAAATGGCATATTGGTTCAAAATACTGAAGAGGGCCTTCCGGGCTCGATCTTCGGGAAACTTATCCAAAGAGTCATGGACCCCCTGATCTTAGTAGAACCCTTGGTTTGATCAAAGGAAGGCGTCCCCTTGTGTGGATTCTTTACTTGAGGTACACCCACCCACTATTTTTTCGGACGGGTTCTATCAAGAAATGTGCACCTCGTATTGTTTGATCTAAAACCAAAGCCCGCCCCGCCCCCCCCCAATAAAAAAAAGATAAGGAAAGAAAGAAGAGAGCGTGTCACTGGGCAACTGCTTGATTTTTGTTTAGCACCACCACTAAGTATGACAAAGATGCTTGTCTTGGTTCCTTGATCACCTAGTGGCACAAGTTCATTTTGCACCAAGAGGCCATCTGAGTCACGTGTCACTGAGACTCACGGGCACACATCAGAATCACCATCTTATCACTCCCCCGCACAAACAATTTGGCCAGAGTCACTAAGAGCCACACAAACAAATACTATCTCACGACAAGCTTGGCAGGACGGTCGCATAATCGTGCGCACCAAAATGCCATCTGGAGCGCATATTGCCCGACCGCCACCTCCATGGACTTGGTGGTCAGGGGCACCAAGCGTACCAAGTCCTAGCGCCAAACCGAGTCAGGGGCGGGCCCACCCTATGCCTTGGTTGCTCTTGACCCCCCTGCAAGAGTTTAACTTTTTTGGGGTTTCGTGGAAAACACCTTTACTTCCCAAAAAGTTAAAGTCTGAAGACCCAACCCAATAGCAATCAAGATGCTGACACTCAAAGTGTGGCCCGTCAACTTCCCGATTGGTGCTTGAGATTGGCTTCATGGTGTGAGTGTTGGGTGGTGTCGCTACAAGAACCAGGGGTTCAAACCCAAACCCAAACCACATATCCGAACCACCGACTGAGAGTAACGTAAACCAAAAGGTGTGGAGATTTAAAAACACTGGTTGCCTTCGCTCATCTGCTTTGTTTCCAGCCTCAGCCACCGGTCAACAAATAACGAGGGTAGAACAATCAACCAGGTTCAGGTTGTCTGAACCTAAACCAAAGGCAACCAGGTATGAAAATCAAAAACCAGGTGGGTTGTGAACCCAAAGCTCCCCCAAGGAACCTCACGGCTCAAATTATGAGGGGATCCGAAATGCACATCCAAATTCGGTGAGGAGTCATGTCACCACTCTTGGCTCCGTGAACATGCACTGCTGCAGGAAACCGGATTTCCCCGTGTCTAGCCTTGGGTTTTGGGTCGTTTAGCTCGGTAATTTTGCCCTGTGGAATCCACTTCCAAGGACAAGCGGCCGGCCTCGACCTTTCGCTTACGCTGAGGGCATGTGTGTGTGTGTGTTGTTTGGACCCCCAAAAGTTGCCTGGTTTTCCTTTTCCCGTTGAAAGCCAATCAAACAGATGCTTCCTTGAAGACAGACACCCCCACATGCATGCATGATGGGGGCATGCAGAACTAGTTCCCTTAGAACCTGACAAACCGCCAAATCACTGACACGTACCTTATGAGGTCTTCCGCATTCCTTGTTTAGACGTGGTACAAAAATATTGTGCTCTTGAAAGCATCGTAATCGCGACATGAGTTGGTAAATCACCATGCTCCTTCTTTTGGTCAGAGAGGACACTTGGGGCATCTAACAATGGAGGACCCCAAAATGGTTGGCTTCCTGTTATTTTAACGCCCCCTCCAAAAGGAGCAGCCTCAAAGACACACCTGCAAAGCAGCCATGTTCATCCATCTCATTCGGTCAAAGAGGCACAAGTCGAGCTCTTTAGCTCCCCTCCAATAAATTTTCGGGGCGTGGAGATTCGACATATTCTGATTTGGATACGAATCTTGACTGGGGCTAACAGCCAGCACCGTGTTGTTGTCTGGAAAGTTTTCCAGGTCTCCCTCCAAAAGGGCGCAGCCTAGGTTTGGTCAGTGGGTGGAGTTACCTTCGGAATTTGGAAACCGTCTTCTTTGGGATGTTCCTGGACCCTCAAACAGCCCGAAAAAACAAGGGAACGGCATTTTTGCTTGGCAGTGACCAAGGTCATTTTTACATTTCTTTGGGTTTTTTTGGGAGCTCTTCCCATGTTTGGATTGGGGATTTGACCCTTTTGGTGGGTAAATGGGTTCCCCCCAAGATACCTCGCCCCGAGATCCGAATGTCGGTCCGCCATGTTCTCTTCCAAGGCCGCGATGTCCACCAGCTCGAAATACGTGAGCACTTCCCGCATTTGTCTGGCCAAACTCCGGCGGTGTCGGTACCCTTCTGTCACTCCTATGTTTGGTGGCGGTGGAAACGCCCCACTCAATGGCCACGATACCTACAAGAACGGACACTGAGTGAACAAGAATGACAACCGCAGAAAACACCACGCTCATGTCCTGAGTACCAACCGCGAAGTAGATGGGGAGGTGCCAACCAAATAGAAAGTGGTCTTCCCACACCTTGCTGTCACACCTTTGGGTAGGGGTATCCCAGCTGTCACTGGGGTTGGTGCAGAATTCTGTCAATCCACAGTGTCGACCAAAGTTGGGGCCTAAATGGAAGGTTCAGGGGAAGGTCCCCGGTTCACTTCAAAAACTTGGGGTATCCCGTCTGGGACACCACTACAAGACAAGGGAAACCACCATCCTTGGAACTAACCCAGCGTGAACATGCCAAGCAATTCAACTGCCAAGTGGCCCTGTACATGGGACGGCCATTGCGAAAGACCGTATAAAAAGACTATATGTCCCACTAAGCGGGAAACCTTACCCATGGTCATTTTGGGGCCAGGACACTTCCACCGCCAAACGGGCACACCCAAACCCAGCGCGACGCGGTGTGGCTCTCGAGGCGCCGGATGATGCAGACGTTGGTGGTGTCGTTGAGCGCTGGGTGTTCGCTGGTTTCGGGGGCTCCATCCAGCAGCTCCTTTGGCCCGAGGGCCCAGAGGACCGACTCACAGCAAATGAGGGAATGACCCCCAGAAACCATCCCCTGGTATTTTTCGAAGGGGAATCCCCAGGTAAAACCTGGGTCATTCCCAACTGAGCACCAGCAAGTAAGAGGTGATCACCTTTTGGAACCTTGACGTATGGACCAAAAACTGGAAAGCCAAAAGGTCGAAAGGTCGATTCGCTTTCACAAGTTAAGTATTAGGTACCCCTTCGGCATGTTCATGTTTTTTGTTCACGTGTGGTTCCGTTGGTCACCTGGCCTATAGAGGAATCACTTGGGAAGCTTAGCCAACGTAATACCAGTGCGGGCCATCCTTGTGACTACTTTCTAAAGATTGAGGGCATTGCCTTGGTAGGGGGAAAAGAGAGCGACAGGAGTGGCCTAGCGATCCAGTGCATTAGACGGGATATGCCGTGTCTTCCCGTCCCAACCTTATTCACTCTCCCGGCTACATAGGTCCCTTCATGCCGGGCAATAGTGAGTGAAAGGAACGTGTCTGAGATGGAAGGGGATTGGTCGCGAGGACAAGGAACGAGAGGACACGCCCCATCTCCCCACTTCTCTCAACCTGTCAGCTCTTGGAGTCGCATGCCAGGTAAACGAACGGAGAGAGTGGTTGGCAGGAGATGGAGAGGTGGCCTGTCTTTTCCCGTCCTCTGCTCTCCGCCGGTTGACCCTGACAACTAAGAAAGACAGGAGAGAGCGAGGGAAGTGAGCGGGGAGCGGCCAAATGAACAAAGTGAATGGGAACGGTCTCCTGTCGTCGCCATTATCTTTCATTCCCTTTATCTCATGCCTTCGTGCCGGGCATGTTATTGAAAGCGAAAAGAAAGGAAAAAGATAGAGAGATGAGAGACAGGAAATGAGATTAGATGAAGGAAATTGCATTTCTCACCTATTAGTATCTTTCCTTACCCATCTGTCCCACACACTATCTCTTTCCCATTTATTCGCTATATCATTATCTCTTAGAAGCGAATGGGAAAGATATGTTTTTCCATCTCTTCTCTGTATCCGTCCGAAGGATACAGTGCATGATGGGCGGATGAAGAGATGGGCTTCTTTCTTATCTCTTTCCCTTCACTCATCCCTCGTTCACTTCAAGAGCTTACGAAAGAACCGAGATAGCGAGGTGAGAGAGTGTAAGTGAGTGAAGAGAAAAGAGGGACGACTCGCCACAGATTTCCCTTTATTTGCGAGTCACCATCTCTTCATCTCTATTCCCATCCGTTGCACCGTCTCGTCTAGAGTCTTTGAGATGTAGAAAAAGAACGAACAAAGTGAGTGGGAAGGGAGATAGGACGCTCACTTCTCCCTTCCATCTTTCTCTTTCACATTCTATCTCACCCCTTCCCAGTCTCTATCCTGGGGAAGGAAAAGGTGAGAGAGTGTGCCATCTCTTTCTTCCTAACCATTTCCCGTCTACTAATTCTGGGACATGAGAATGTTAGGAAGATAAAGAGATGGGAAAGGGTGATGAGAGGAATGCCTCTATTCTCTTTCCTGGCATTTCCCACCCTTTCTCCCTTCTTTCCTTTCTCTTTCTCATGTCATGTCCACGGAGAGATGGTGAGGCAATCATTTTCCAAATCCTTTATTCTAATGCCTCACCTCATCTCTCATCTCCCATCTCTTGTCTGTCCTTCTTATCACCTGCATTTGAGAGCTATTAATATGTGGCAGGTGATGGACAAGAAAGAGATGGCATATGCCTCTCCTTTTATCCACCATTGTCTATCTTGGCCCTACTTGAAAGGGCAGGGAATTGCACTTCCAACCATTTTTTGTACCAGAGTCCAAAGTCCCTTAAGGTCAGAACCAATACCAACCATTGACCTGACTTACCTTTCGGGTTCATTTTTGTTCCCGAAAAATGGGAGAGCCCCCCTTTCAGTTTTTTTCTTCAGTTTTTTTCCCCCCTTTAAGTAAAACCTGTTTCTCAATCACTCCCATCTCTCAACTCCTGTCTGATGCTTGAAAGCAAGCAACCCCAGCTTTGCCGGTGCGGCAAAGAAAAATCGGGCAACCCCAAAACGGAGCCCCGGGAAATGGAAACAAGGACTCAAACCTTGGTTGCTGTTGACCCCCCTGCGAAAAGTTTAACTTCTTGCGGGACTAGTGGAAAGCCCGTTGCTTTCCCAAAAAGTTAAAGTCCAAAGATCCAACCCAAAAGCAGTCAAGAAACCTGCGGCCGGGCGATTGGACTTCACCTCTTGGAAGCTGGAGCCGCAAACATCCACAGGCAACCACAAAGGAGCACAACTTCAAACCAAACTTATGACCCTGACGCGCCCCCCCCCCCCACAATATTAACCCCTCACTAAGCGATCGGAGCAAAGAAGACAAACAACTCAGATGCCAAACTGCCCCTAGGTCCTTCAGCAGAGAGGTTAGAATAAGGGTACCCTTTTTTCTGTAGTCTATTTAGGAGGGGAACCCTCCCCCAAGAAAGGGTAAAAGGGCACTACTGGGGGACCTAGGCTATCCGTGACTAAATATGGACTCCAAAGGCTGCGGCCAGTGAGACGTAACAGAAACATCGACTGCAACCGAGGCTCCCAGTGCGCTTTCATGAAGGACTCGCGAGCCTTGTTCAAGCGGTCCAAGTCACTCCTCGGATATGAAAGATCTAGGCCTAAAGCCAAGCGATCCTAACGTGGAATCTGACACGGGGGGGTCCTATAGATCCACTCTAAACATCACTCCATCTGTACACGAAACTCACTTTTCACTGGCCCAAACAGTGATGATTAAATTGACCAACCAGAAACTGATCCTGTGACCCTATTCTTTTCGGATCTGCACACATGATTGTCCGGTGCAAGCGAGAGTCCCAAAAACTGGGGTTCAGAATGGCCAACACCTGTGCGTTACGGGCTGGGGATTTCATCTCATGACCTTCAGGGTAGCTCGTCTGTTTTTAGGATTACCCCCAACAAGTTCCCCATAGCCCGTCCATCACGTCTTCAGGAAGGCCGTCACGCGATGTTTGTCCAAAGCGGCCTGGCCTATAGAAACCCAAGAGCTGATAACGCCGTGGGGAACTTTGCGGTAAGGAAAGGCGAACACCAAACCCAAAAAGGCGCCTTCCGGCTTGGTGTTCGCCGCCCCCGAGTTTCATGGACGACTCTTCCGGCAGGTGCTCTTTTTCGTTTTTCGGGGGGGGGGGGGGGTTCTCCAACAGTGATCCGGCTTCATCTGAAACGGGTCCCCTGTCCGCCCGGGTTCCTGATTTCCAAGCAGGGCGTTTGACCTTACGGAACTCTGGCAACATGTTTTTTTTAACCTTAATCCTAAACGGAGTCCAATGAAAGGCGAAAGCCCGGATCGTAGACCTGGTTGATCGGGGGGGTAAGAACACCGATAAGGGAGGGTTCAGACTGATCAGACCACTTTGGCGGGGTGTTCCCCCCTTCATAGGACTGGTTCTACTTAGATCCGGAGTCAACATAACTTTCTTTGTTCACTAATGTTGACGCAGTTTAGTAATAGTGCGGGTGTTCCCCTCCAGAAGTGATGATTCCCCACCAAACCCAGGGACAGCCCTCTATTACTAAGCTGGTTGATTAATATGGCCCTGGGTCAAAATCCCGTACTCCCAGTGAACATCCCAATCCCCACTAAATAGACTAAAATGGGTGGTGCACCTACCCCAAGATGGGATCCCATTGGTTTTGACAACCACAGCCATATAGGGTCCAATTATACAAAAGATCACCAGCCGAGGAGCTCCGCCGAGGTCCCGTGCTTCTGCAGCATGGCGCTGTACGCGAGCTGCCGCACCAGGCTGCGTTGCCGGGTTGTGATGTCGATGACGTAGACCTGACACGACATCCACGTTCCAAGCTTCCCCCCACAGGCAGTGTGCCAGGTCTGTGAGCTGGTTGGCCACTTGGGAAAGAACCCACATTGTAAATAACAGGGTCGAGTCCCGTTAGGAGGACTTCTTTACGTGGGATACAAGCCAGATTAGGCGCTCCCCCATAACAATAAAGGTCCCCTATTTAATATTCAGAATTGTTTCTCGAAAATTCCAAAGCCCAATAGTTGATGAGAATACGCACATTCTGAACCATTGCTAAACTAGCGATCTTCTCGCAATATTCCCTCCGAGGGGCCCTTTAGTACCAATGCTACACTAGTACTAAACCAAGACTAAACCAATGCACGAGCGCTAAACTGTATTATAGCACAAACCAAAATTATGGTCACTGCTTTCTGCTGTTCAAGTTCCGTTCCTTGCTCTGAAATTGCCGGTTTGAACACTTGTTGGGCCCGGAACGGAGAAACTGGCATCGAAAAGGACCGGAACTCGGGCCAGTGCCAGAAAAAGATGTCTGCCACCTCGAATGTCGAACATTAGCAGGGCCCAAGGGCACTGGATCGCACATCATTTTAGCACTTGGTCAAACACCCACGTACGGCCAAGGGGGGGGGGGTTCTTAGAAGGGGCACACGACTGCACACATGACTCCTTCACCAGACTTTGACCCCCGTGCAAGAATTTAAAATGTTTGCCGCCAAGTCTGGCAATTGTCTTGTAGTCATGACTTAATCTTGATCTAAAGCGTACCCAACGACCATCCAATGTCCAGATCTCGTGAAGAGATCCAATGAACTCAGAACTTGCACGGAATCACAGCAAGTAGCCAGAAGACACCATGGTAAAACCTGAGAAATACACCCTGGTTGACCCGCTTTGGGAACTGGAAGCATGTGGTGTAGCGCTCTCCTGCATAGCATGAAACCCATCAAACGACATCTGCTTTTGGGGCCTGGTGGGGCTCTGCGTGACTGTGAGTTATTTTTAGGGGACCCTTTGGTGGACATCAGAATTCGGTGGGGATTCAGGTCCACCAATCACAATCGAGGTGCATCCCCAATGAAGTTCATGGCCATGCAAAGTGGGCAGCCAGCGAAGCAAGGAGGAGATCCTCCTAGTCCGTCAGACTGACTTTTGTTTCCACGTCTTGTGAAGAGGCAAGGGATAGCACCGTCTTGCATTCAACAACTGGCTAATTTAGGTAACCCCCCCCCAAAAAAAAAAACAAGAAAAGAGAAAACACGAATGAAGAAAACACAACTAGAGAAAACAACAAAACCAGCAAAGCACGTTCACCACATCTCACCACTCAGTCATTCCAACATGAACTGGCCAGAATTCATTTTCAACAATCAACAGTACATCCCTCAGTCCCTGCCGATGTTGCTTGAACTCCCGATTTTCAGGAATGTTCCTTGTTACCATTCCCAAAGCCAGCAAGACAAAGCCAAAGCCCCGAATATGTTCCGAACAAACCCAAAGCGCCCTTCGGCCCTTCGGCCCTTCGGTCCAAGAATATTTCGCCCAGCCGCCGGGGCGGTGGTGCCTGCTGCTTGGCCCGCCAACACAAAGAGATGCATGGCCTCGGCGAGTCCAACTTGAAACATCGTCAAGACCTGGTCACTAGTGTTCAAAAAGCGTGAAACAAATCTCAAAGGGTAGAATCTCATTGGTCCAAATTCGAAGCCTCGTCTTCGGAACACTCGCTGATTCGCGGACCCAAGCCCAGGATTTGCTACAGGCTGCAAATTTCAACTGAGAGATCCCAAATTCGTTGGGCTGCGCCCTCCTTCCATTGCCATTCAAGGCTCTCGCGGGTGAAGGACAAGCCACAAGCCTCCCTTTTTGGACACGTCACACTGGGGTGTGGTCTATAGGCCCCCTGCAAAAACAAACCGGACTTCGATATTCTTCGGCTTCCCTGTCGGCCGTTGTGAAGGAAAACAGCTAACTTGTCGCCGGGCGGGGAGGCGTTAAAATATTTGCGGAAGGCCAGAGGCTGAGGGGCCAAGAAGGGCCACCAAACTACGGTCCTGCGCGAGCACTACCCCCGCCTTGTCCATCTTTGTCATCGCCGTGTTGCTGAGGCGCGCCACCTGCGAGCCGAGCTACAATAGAGGCTTGTTCACTGGGCTGTCCTCAGATCCCCCGCTAAAGGTCTAACTTTTAGTGGTTTAAATGGAACCCACCAAACACTAAAAGGCTAAAAAGCTGAGGGCATGGCTGGGAGCCACCAAGAGTAGAAGGTGGTTCAGCTTCCTTTTCTTGGTTACCAAACAGAACCATTGAAGGTGGCTTGCAAACAATACCTCCCTTTGTCCACCGCGCCTCCCTCCAACCACACCCGATCCCCCTTTGGATCTGGTATTCGCTGTTTAGTTCCTGCTGTAAAACAACAGGCGAATGAGACGGCGACGAGCTTCAAGAATGCAAACAACTAGCGTCGCTGCTTTTCCCAGGGCGTCCAAGTACACTTTGAGGCTTTTTGGAAAGGGCTTGGTTTTTTTTGATTCCGCCTAGATCATGGGAACCTTCGTTGGGTATCTTTTTGTGGAGGATTTGCTGTTTTTTGGTCTTAATGGACAACCAAAATAGACACCCTAAAAAAGACACACCCAGGTGTCCGATAGGAGTGCGTCCATTTAAGAGGCAATCCTCCGAATTCCGGCTGTCCCGGAAACCAAAAAGCTTTTGCCCCCAACCCAAAATCATATCTTTGGTTCTGGTCCATATTTTTGCGATGTATCTCGGCCTCCGCCACCACGGCGGCGGAGACCTCGGCGGAGCGCACGGCGCGGCCCAGCTCCAGCGCCAAGTTCTCCCAGGCCGTGTGCGCCAGCAGCAGCTCCGCCAAGATCTCCTCGACTTCGACTTTGACGTCGAGAATTCGAGGCGAAAAACGCGACTATAGGTCCTCCAGATTTGAGAGGTTAGAGGTTAGGGTACCTAGAGTCTCCATGACCCGTTAAAAATGTGGTCATTACCTAAAATAATGGGGTCATGGACCTATTGTTAAAGGGTCATGCAGACTCCAGGTACCCATTTTTTTGTAGTCTATTGTAGTAGGGGAACCCTCCCCCCAAAAAAGGAGTGAGACAGGGCACTACTGGGGGACTTAGACGAAGGCCTTCGCAGCGAGAAAGGGCCCCTCTGGCGAGACGGACGAAAGCGAGAAGCGAAGAACCGAAGGAACCCCGACCCCGTGGAGGTTCTTCCTTTTTTTAATGGAGAATTGTAGCGAACGAGGAGAGAAAGAATGGAAGGACAGACCACCCAAGAAGTAACTGGTTAACACGGAACCCAAACAGAACCACCCGCTTTTAGGGGAATGGCTATCCTTCTTGGTTGGGACCTCCTTTTTGGGCAAGCCATGCGAATTTGCGGCGGAGCAACGAGCGAGAAGGAAAGCAAATGGGTTCTACACTTTGGGCTTTTTCTGAGACCAAAAGAAAAACAACCTGAAAGGGTCCCAATAATCAGAATGCAAGCTTCCAGGCAAGGCTTAGGAAACCTCGTGACTTCGAGAAACACCTGCGCTCGGGGAAAATCCGCTGAGAAAATAACCCCCCTTCCGAAAATCGGCCCAGACTGTTGGGCTGCGAGAACCTCGGAGCTGTCTCAAAATAGGGCGTGGACCCCAGGTTTTTTGGACCCCCAAATTGAGATTCCTCCATGTCCTCAAGTCTTCTGATAAAGCTATGTCCAAGAGTGATACATTCCCGAAATAAAACCAACCAGGGAGAATAGAAAAATCAATTCAGCAAATGGCAGGCTTCAAAGGGAAACCTTTGAAGACCATGACTTGAGACTCCTGGCTTCAGAATGGGGTGTCGCACCGAAACTCGGAAGCCTCTGGTTGCAGCAGGGAATTCGTGGTCGCCTCTTGTCTTCCCTTGTTCACAACCCCAAGGGTATCCTCGAAAAAGAGACACCCAGCTGTGTAACAAAGAGGGGCGCTCCCTTTCAAAAGGACCCCCCGCCCATTTTCCATAGATCGGAGCAAGGCAAAGCCCAGCGGATTGAATTCGTAAACGTGGAAACATTCCCTAAAACACACACACAGACACACACGGCAATTGCCCATTGGGAGCCACTTGTTTAGGAGTTACCGGTACCAACTGGAAAGGAAGGCCTAAGGGGATCTCCTTCCGCTGGCAGTTTTCTTCGGAACATGGCCTGGAGACTATGGGCCAAGTGACTCACTTACGAGTACGACAGGGTGAACTCAAGCTGTCGAGCTACAACCTCTACGTCTAGGCCACTTGGTTCCCCTAACATAAGACCAAAAGCCGCAGGGGGCTTCTGGGTTCAAGGTCCATGGCGGACAACCTGGCCGGGATCTAGAACTTGGCTTACAAAAGTCTCATTTCATGAGTGTGGGGACCCTGGTTTTCCGACCACCAACCTGTGTTTCGACCTTCATGTCACCTTTTGCTTGGTCCAAAAAACAGGTTGGGGCTCAACAAAAACAAGCTCCAGAGCCTGTGGAAAGGTCAAACCTGGGTGCCTGACAAGGGCCCGCTTGGGCATTTCATATGGTTGTTGGACTGCTTACCAACAAATGCCATGCCGCAGTATATACGCCTGTGGTATATATTATATGGGGTGTGTGTCTTTTTTTATACCATACCCCGATGTCATAAGTCCCCTAGTGATACTGTGGATGGACAAAATCCATTTCGCACCACTTTGAAACCATGGGGAACCATAACGTTTGTTGGTATTTTCAGGGGAATCGAATCAGAAACCAGGGGCTTATTAGGTGCCGAATGGATTTCGTCCAGCCCCGTCGCTCGTAGGCCAGCCGTCAGCTCCTGGGTGGGCGGCGTAGCCTGGCCTTGCTCCTGGTTACCCTCCACCACATTCCGCAAACCCGTGCCCACGCCCTCCACAAGCACGGTCAACTCCACCTGGAAAAGGAAATCCAGGGCTCTGGGCTTGGGCTTCACGGAGGGCTCTCGGGGAATAGAGATGTGTTTGGATTTCTGGAGGTTTCTGGTGGATTATGGATGGTTCCCAGGGATCTTTGTGGGAGCCCAGTTCAAGGCCTCCAGGTGGTCCAAACTCAAAACCCGACACGTGGACCCAGCAGCATGAGCCCATGGTGAAAGCTCCGTTTCTTTGTCCTACGGTATGTTCATGATTTCCTTATGAATCCATGATCAAAAGATCCAACCATCCGATGATGTTCCGTCCCCAGTATTCTACCCAGCTTTTCTTGTGCCTCAAATGGCCGGACTGTTTTTGGTGGGCATATGTTGGGTGGCCAATCCCAAGATGATGGTTCTCTCTTGGTTTCCCCTTACTCTCGCTCAAAAACGGCACAGTGGGGCGCCGGGGCGCCCCAAAGAGGTGCCCCAAAAAGAGGCGCCCCAACAGGAGATTCCCCGAGAAAGATTGCAGGCTTTCAGCTTCCATGCTCATCTGAAGGAGTGTAAGTCATTGAGTTGTCCACCCGCCCAAACCTTCCGTCTCAGATTGACACCCATGCATTTCGCAAGGGGGAGGGATGCAGGGGATTTCCCAAACGATAACGGAAAAACAAATGTTCAAATTAATAAATGGACACTGCAGTATTATGCCAAATCCTTCACCTTGTTCCTACGCTGTGTATTTCTGAGCAACAGCCAGCCCGCTTGATTGACAACGAGACACTCATAAATTGACCTCACCAATCCGTTGTGGAACAGGGCATGGCTTTCATCCTCACTTGCAGGGAGCCCAAATAAGGCCTTATCAAGCCCTTAATAAGTCCAGGGGTTGATTCCCCATTCTTTTCAGCCATCGTTCTTTTCAAAGACCAGCCATTTCCCCAGGGTGTTGGGTGGTTTTCTAGAAAGAAAAAGCAGGATCACTGGAAAGAAAGGAAACGGAAGTTACCCTAGAATTAGGCCTTCTCCCCCTCCCCTCCCCCCCCAGCCCCCCGATCGCCCCCAACAAACTGATCGATCCATGGCCTGGCTGCTGGCGACCTCATAACCCAAGCTGATCTGCATGAAGAGCTGGCTGGCTTGCGCCATCAAATAGTTCCTCGTAGAATCTAGCTGCAACCCCAACATGGGGTGGGGTGGGGGGTGGGTGGGGTGGGTGGGGTGGGTGGGGTGGGTGGGGTGGGGTGGGGCGTGGGTGGGGCGTGGGTGGAGGTCAAAAAAAGCAAACCAGTTCAGCCTGGCTCCAGCCCGCGGAACCCGTAACTTGCCCAGTTTGGACCAAGGTGATCGCCTTTGGACCGGTCCTAAAAGTGGCCGAAACAAAGACCAAAAGCTGAAAACACTCTTGTCACTTTTGAAGGTTCTATCGGTCGGACCCGGGCTGTGCGACACACGCGACCAGAAGGACACCTGTGAATGCAAACGCATGCAATTGGTCTTAAATTTGCAGGCAACCCCATCCAAGTGAACCTTGAATTGACTTTTGAGGTGGACTCCAAATCCTGAGCTAGTATAGTAAGTCATGATTGGGGATTTGTAATATCCCATCGCAAAGGGCCCAACCGCTTGACATTGCACATCCGTATGCGGGTTGTGAAAACCACTTCTCCTGAAAACTGCTCATGCCATGTAAGCCTGGAAATTCGGAAATACTTTACCAAGTACCATGGGTTTTAGCACGACGCCCCTATGGCCTTGGGTCAAAGCCCAAATCGTACCCCCAGTGAACATCCCAAAATCCACTAAAATAGGTTCTAAAATGGGGGGTAAATTCACCTACCAACCAAAATGGTACCAAACGGTTTTGACCCACGGCCATATGAGCTTCTTGCCCAAGCGTCTGCTTCTCCGCCAGGGTCACTGTAGTCACCCACTCACTGGGCGTGAGCACCTGCGCTCAAAGCAAATCTCAGGGTTTTGCTACAGGAAGTCAACCCGAAGTATGCAACCCATAAAAAGGATGCCAGACCATTTTGTTCGACATGATATGGGTGTGTGTGTGGTTTGCTTTGTTTCTTCTAATATTT